AAGAACAACGAGTCCTTGAGGCACCTTAGAGACTAACAAATTTATTTGGGCATAAGCTTTCGTGGACTAGAACCCACTTCATCAGCTGCATGGAGTGGAAAATACAGAAGCAGGAATAAATACATGAAAGGATGGGAGTTGCTTTTTCAAGTGTAAGGTCAGACTAACGAGACCTGGGAAGGCAACTCCCATCCTTTCTATGTATTTATACCTGCTCCTGTATTTTCCACTCCATGCAGCTGATGAAGTGGGTTCTAGCCCACGAAAACTTATACCCAAATACATTTGTTAGTCTCTAAAGTGCCACAAGGACTCCTCCATTGTTTTTAGTTATGACTGTTTCTAGTCTTAGTCTAGACCATTTCTAATCTAATCTAGTGTGACTAATTTAGTAACTAACCTTTTTGATTTGGTTTATCATAATTCCCAAACATCTAGGCTGAAACTGTGAAACACTCTGTAATTTGCCTTACTAGGGAAAGTTTTGAATTTACTTCAGACTTAGCTACACCATGGTAGCTAAAGCCAACCTTTTTTTCTTAATATAGATACAGGAGCCTAGTCTAGAAATTGACCAGCTAATATGTTAGAGATGTTGCCCTGCGTCTGCACTAGGAAAATAGCTGAGTTTAGATCACTTAACTAGTATGCATTAGGTTACATGGCTCCAACCTAAACTCAGACTTTTTCTAGTTATTTTTATTCTCCTTTCTTCTCTCACAGAAGGTTGGGGGAAGAACTGGTAACTTTTCAGGAAAGAGAGAGGTAGGTGTCTTGGGATAAGAGTTAAGGAGTTATGTATGTATAAAGTACCTTTAATAAGGAATTCTGCAAGGTTAATAAATATCTTGTCTAGTCTGCCTTTTGCTGGCATAACTGAGAGTTAGGAATGCTATACCAGCAAAAGCACCCTGTATAGATGCAGATATACTGGGGAGAAAAGCCCTTTGCAAATATAGCTTATTTCTAGGTCTGTCAAGCGATTAAAAAAATGAATCACGATTAATCGTGTGATTAAAAAAATTTATTGCAATTGTGTTGTTAAACAATAATGGAATACAATTTAAATATTTTTGGATGTTTTCTACATTTTCAAATATATTGATTTCAATTACAACAGAGAATACAAAGTATATAGTACTCACTATATTTTTTATTACAAATATTTGCACTGTAAAAAACAAAATAAATAGTATTTTTCAATTCACCTCATACAAGTATTGTAATGCAATCTCTATCATGACAATTGAACTTACAAATGTAGAATTATGTACAAAAAATAACTGCATTGAAAATAAAACAATGTAAAATTTTGTCCCACAAGTCCGCTCAGTCCTACTTCAGGCAATTGCTCAAACAAACTTGGATACAATTTGCAGGAGATAATGCTGGCTGCTTCTTGTTTATGTCACCTAAAAATGAAAGTGGGCATGGCACTATTGTAGCTGGCATTGCAAGCTATTTATGTCCCAGATGTGCTAAAAATTCATATGTCCCTTCATCTTCAACCACAGTTCCATAGGACATGCTTCCAGGCTGATGACGGGTTCTGCTCAATAACTAGACAAAGCAGACTGGACGGATGCATGTTCATTTTCATCATCCGAGTCAGATGCCACCAGCAGAAGGTTGATTTTCCTTTTTTGTGGTTTGGGTTCTGTAGTTTCTACATCTGAGTGTTGCTTTTTTAAGATTTCTGAAAGCATGCACCACACCTCATCCCTCTCAGATTTTGGAAAGCACTTCTGATTCTTAAACCTTGGGTCAAGTGCTGTAGCTATTTTTAGAAATCTCACATTGGTATCTTCTTTGCATTTTGTCATTTCTGCAGTGAATGTGTTCTTAAAACAAACGTGCTGGGTCATCATCTGAGACTGCTAGAACATGAAATATATGGCAGAATGTGGGTAAAACAGAGATGAAGATACAGAACTCCTTGCAGGAGAACTGTATATCACAAATTTAATATTTTTTAACAAGCATCATCAGCATGAAAGCATGTCCTCTGGAATGGTGGCCAAAGCACAAAGGGGCATATGAATGTCTAGCATATCTGGAACATAAATACTTTGCAACACCAGCTACAAAAGCGCTATGCAAACACCTGTTCTCACTTTCAGGTAACATTGTAAATAAGAAGCAGGCAGCAGCATCTCCTGTAAATGTAAACAAACTTGTCTGCCTTACCAATTGGCAGAATAAGAAGTAGGACTGAGTGGACTTGTAGGCTCTAAAGTTTTACTTTTTGGGGGTGGGGGGTTACATAACTGCTCTCAAACAAAACAGTCTACATTTGTTAGTTGCACTTTCCTGATAAGGAGATTGTACTACAGTACTTGGAGGTGAGTTGAAAAATACTATTTCTTTTATCACTTTTACAGTGGAAGTATTTGTAAGAAAAATGGATATAAAATGAGCACTGTACACATTGTATTGTGTTGTAATAGAAATATATTTGAAAATGTAGAACATCCAAAAATATTTAATTGGTATTCTATTGTTTTAAAAACTGCTTAATTGCACTGTTAGAGTTAGTGTGAGTTAACTGCAATTAGTTGTCAGCCCTACTTATTTGCTAAAGTCATAATGATACTGGCAACAAAGTTTTACTGGAATAAGCCGCATTTCCCTTTCTACTGTAGGCAAGGCATTCATGGTGGCTTTTATAGAACGTAGGTATTCCAGGACCACTAGATCAGTTTTCCCTCTGTAGAAAGAGTAGCTTAGAAAAAATGCATCTGGAACAGCTTCTCTCCCATTGATTTAAAGTTTGCACAATGTAGCTGTACTCAAGCACTTGTGCACATTCACAGCAGTAATAGTTGCAGTTGGGGGCCTCCTTGTGCTACCCTGCTGCAACTGGGCCCCTTTGTGCTAGTTACTGAATATGACCAGATTTCAAAATACTGCATGATTACAGAAAACAGTTATCCCCATTTTACAAGTGCTATCATGGGGCCCTTTTATAGAGGCACAAAGCATAGAAATGACTCACAAATGACTCATGGGAATAACAGGGCTGGGAATAACCTAAGACAGGTCATTTACTACCTATCATCACACCCTCAAGCTTGGCTTGGGTTTTAGATTAAAGAACTTTACAAATAAAACTGGGCTGCTCTGCACTATAGAGTGTTTAAACATTGCTCTGCAAGACCCATGTGATAGTACTGCAAGTCTCATTTTCAAGAAGTGACTTCAGCACTTAGTGCCTATATCATTTGTAAATGAAAGTTGGCTCAGGGAGGTCCTGTAACGCTGAGTCGAGCAATGCCTAAACACGTTTAAGCACAAGGGCCCCAATCTTTTGGCTTTCCCAGGGTATGGGCACTATACCACCTTCAATTGTGATTCGAAAGCTCTTATTTTAATCTGTATTATGTTAAAGTGTGGTTTGCTAGGTATTTCATAGCAGTGATTGATATCTTTCCCATCTAACAGCTGGACAGGAGGCTGTGGAAAAAGCTGAATTATTCACCCTTTGCTAACAAAAGGAATGAGAAGTCTGGTAGCACCTTAAAGACTAAGATCTATTTAGGTATAAGCTTTTGTGGGCAAAGAACCCATTTCTGATGCATCTGAAGAAGTGGGTTCTCTAGCCACAAGCGTATGCCTAAATAAACCTTGTCATCTTTAAGGTGCTAAAAGACTCCTCAGTCTGTATCCACAAAAAACCCCAAAACACTGCTACCTATGATACTTGTCACCCTATGATGTGGATTTAGAGGGCCCACTGCACATGAGGGCTAAAATTGCATGTATAGCCTTTTACAGTTCCAGCTGTGAAGTGTGGATTTATGCAACCTTGATATAGACACCAAGGAATATTCTTGATGTTTGAGATTATATCTACACACTGGCCCATTCCCTGCCAGAAGAACCAATATTTCATAGGCTCTGACATTTGTGCCCTGGAGCCCCTCTAGGGCCAGCCCTGTTTTATGATATGCCCCTGGGATTCCTTTGCCTCATTTTCTCCTGGCTCCTGCCCCAGGACTGAGCAACCCAGGTAGTGTCTAGCCAACCTGGGCTAGACTGGGGGTAGGAATCTTAAACTAACTGCACTGTTTGCTTTTCAGAAGTTGCTACCTGAAATCCCAAGTACAATTCTACCACAGCCATATGAGAACAGTAACTTATTTCTGTTCTAAGTTTATCCAGAAACTAAAGCTTGTTGACAGGTGTGAATAGTTGATAGAGAACTACTTAGAAATTAAGGCTCTATGGTATATAGGGGAAGCATCCCAGGCTTCTAAGTGTCTACACACGAATGCCAGTGGTTGCCACTACTGAGAACCAAGGCTACATATAGCATGACTAATCGCAGGCACAGATTTCTACTATGGAACTGGAAATCACCTCTTAGAAAGAACAGGTTAGACCTTCGTTCAAATGCAGTGACATTTTATTTTGAAGACAGGGATATTAAATGCAAACAAATAGTATCGGAGCGGATAAGTGATCTACATTATAGCAGTCACACCATCTCCAGACATTAGTGGAGATCTTCGGACAGTGCTTATAGTAATAGCCATTGGTGTCTTTCCTGCAGAAGGAGGCTAGTACACATGAAGTCATAAGGAAGACAATGACTTTGCCTTCTTCCTTAGAAGTGAAGTTTCATGTTTCTAGGTCACAGGTCCTCCTTAGCCTTGGATGCTGTGAGGACTTCAGCTTCTTCAGCCTCATTTTCTTGGTTTTGTGGTTCAATGGAATCTGCAGACACCTCACCTGATGGGGTGAAGGGTCCCACAACCCAAGACAGAGGAGTATTTGCCATCATGTATGCCATCAGCTCATCGACATATTCCTGGGCCTTGGTCACCATCTCCTGGCTCTGGGTTAGGAGGCTGCTGGAGAGATCCTGGAAGGAATGGGCAGTGGAGAAGGAAGCATGAAGCTCTTCCATGTTGGAATACACCTGTTGCACCTTATCCTGAAAGTTGGTGGGGAGACCTTGAATGCTGGATACTAGCATCTGGCAGGCATCCTGCAGCTGCTGGATAATGCTGCGGGACATAGCCAAAGTCTCAGACTCCATCTGTTGGAGAAACAGACGTTTAATCCTAATGTTCAAAACACAATAAGGATCATCAAACTTGCTGCTGCCACCACCACCTCAGGTGATGTCGCAAGGTGGCAAGTTATGCTGCAAGGTACTAATGGCAGTCATCAAGGAGGTCTGATGGAAAGACCATTGGCACCAACAAGGTCGGCAATGGGTGTGCCATGCACTCTTTCAGGAGAAATAAAGAAACCAAATTGCTCCTTCCCTATGAGAAGCAACTTGTGACAATGGAGGCTAACACCAGAGGCAATAAGCCATGTAAGCTATGTCAAAACAGAGCTAAGCCAAGTTAGTTAACAGGGGTGTCACTGGTTGCAAACCCATAATCTACAATCTGTTTGCAGGCTGTGCTGAGGGTTTTCAAAAAGGGAAAAGAAAATAAAATCTAAAGAGACTACACTTCTTGGGCAGACCTTGCTGGTGTGATATCACTTTAGGGATGTCTAAGCAAGGAAGCCACCTATTTATTAGGCTCAGGGGACAACTTTTTGTAATAAAACTAAAATCACCTGAATTTATCAGCTACTTACCCAACGATAAGCCACCCTGCAAGGCTCAGAATAATGGCTAACCTCTCAGACCAGAGCTGTCCCCTCCCCGTAAATGTACATACCTCTGGTTTTGCCAGATCTTTGATCTCACTGCCTTTTGTCTGCTTTCTATTCCAGCTCACCCATATGTGATGGAACTTCTCCTGGACTTCTTGAAGAGAAACACCTTGCTTAAGGTATTCAATCTAGAAGTGGATTAAGTATATTGAGACATTTGCACATCAGTTATTCTAGTTCCATGGTCTATGACATGCCTTCACCCCACAGAGTGGTATGCCCAATGCATCAGGGTCTAGTTACATAACCATGAATGAGGTCTCAGCCTCATTCTACCACATTCTATCCAGGTAGAATTGGAGGTGTTCCCTGCCCTGAAGAGCATCAGTTTTAAGAGATAGTGGGGTTCCTACCAGTCCCATGGTTTGATGAAGCTGGGAAAGAGCCTCTCTGATGCTTTGACTGGTATGTCTCATCTTGTTTAGGGAATAGCGGTAGGCACGTTGGCGAAGTTTGGTCGACAGGGAACCTAAACGCACGAAGTAGCT